TTTGCTTCCATTGTAGTTTTCCACGAATGGTGAGATTGTTGGAGAGGAGATTACTAGTGATCTCTTATCTGTGACTAATAGAAACTACAGACATGGAAAAGAACTGGATAACTGAGAACCCCAAATAGGCAGACGTCTATTTATTTTTGCCTACTATTAACCTAGAAAAGAGCAAGGAGCAGAAATACATTACAAAGGCACGGATATAATCATTAAATACACTGTGAAAGCAGCAATTGGCAAGCAAGATAGTTACATGCATTTTGAAAACATGTGAATTTTCCCCATATAAGTTTTCTAAACAGCACTAACTCTATTTTTTAGATTTACATTATCTGAAATACATGGCTATAAAGGTTTTAAAACACATGCAAAATTTTGGAGATAGTTACTACGATGAATTATCTTGAGTAGCAACTGATTGAATGTGAGACACCTAGAACTTAAAGAACACCTCTGAGTGTTTTTGGCAGGCCATTTCCATAGAGTATTAACTAAGGTGGGAGACATGCTCTAAATGTTGTCAACAACATCCCATAGTCTTGGGACATATGTGGAGCAAAAGGGGGAAGTGGACAAAGTCCACTAAGTTATTCATATTCACATTCTCTCCATCTCTCTCTTTTCCCTCCCTCCCTTCCCCTTCTTAATCCTTGGCATTATGATATAAGATATTCTTTTTTGCCATGAACATCCTCTCTCACTCTACCATGATGAAGTGATGGGTTAAAATAAACATCCCCTCTCTTAAAGTGATGGGTTAAAATAAACATCCCCTCTCTTAAGGCTTTTCACATGTAGGTAAAATCAAAATTCATGCACTGCATTTGCTTATTAGGATCCCCACCTCCTTTCCCATGATACTGACTTTTTTTATAAACCCAAGCCAATAGTGTCATAGAATGTCAAGCATTCTCTGTATTTGTAAACTTTTGTTTCTTAGTTTGATTCATGTTAAACATTTCATAGTTTATGCTTTACACTTCACACTTTATCAAATTAGGAGACATACAGGGTCAAATTTTATCACTATTGGCAGTGCTAATATTGACCAATGATATAAGACAATTATCTTTAACAGAGCCTCAGTGTAAAGATCCACAGTGTCCACTTATAATTAGTAGCCTGAGGCAATACATTGAAATGATATGAGTATCTTGTCTCTCAATATTAATTTTTTCTTTTGATCATTTGATCAGTGCTTAAAAACAAGGTAGTGCAGTTACAAGCTAATCATTTTGCTATCACTCTCACATTCATTAAGAGCTATTCATCTATTAGTGGCTCTTCTTTCTTTACCATCTTCCCCATGAGTTTCTGCTTCTTCAATATGCTATGAGCAAATATTCATGTTCAGGTTTCCCAAACATCATTGGTGTCATCCCTATCAAGCAAATACCTTTGTTTGTGGTATAATTTACTCAAGGCTCACCTAGTGTTTCCAAATCCCATATCTGGAATGGCCACTTTCCTAAGTCACTCTGGTCCCTTTGAAAATGGAATAGTATTTAGAAACAAAGAACTGGGCACTAGGTACACTCACATATTTTTTGAAGAGGGAGAGAATCATTTGAAGGCTGGAAGAGACGGTTTTGTTTTACTTTGTATGGTGAATTCACAGACATTCCCCACTACCTTTAATATTGCAAAACTCTGCTCTTCATCTCTAACTTTGTACCCAGTTCTCCTTTTCTTACATCATGAACCTTAGCTTCTGTTAAATTAATGTATAAACACATACAAATATGTGTGCACATATATGTTTCTTCCTTATAAAATGTGTACATATTTAGACCATATTTATATGACTACTAATAAGTCAACCAGGTGATGCTTAAAGTTTCTCTGTAGCTCTTCTTGTTTTCCAAAGCTGTTTCATTAAGGATGAGTCTGAGGCATGTGCTGACAACTTAGTTGAAATAGCCGCTTTCTCTATGTGTTTCTATTATCAAGTTGACAAACATTCATCTGCTTTTTTGGTGTCCTGTTTTAGGGTTCTTAAAATTTGCTTTGTTTTTATTTTATTTTTGAATTTGTACAAATTAGCACTGATTGGAAGTAAAAACTATATCAGAAGGTGACTTAGTCCCTATCCCCCTCCATGTCATTAGTACCTTTCCCCATGTGTAGCCATTTTTATAACTTGCATAACTTTGTTGAGGTATATCTGCCATAAAGTTCCCCATTTGAAAGAGTATTATTCAATGGCTTTATTATATTTATAGAGTGGTGTAACTGTCACTAATGTCTAATGCAAGAAGCTTTCATTATTCCATAAAAACCTGCCACATCCAGCATCAGCAACTCCTAATTACTATGCAATATTTTAGCTATCAATTTATATACTGACGGATGCTAGGTTTATTTACACCATTAAATAATTATGGATAATGCTGTTATAAATATCTGTGTGTAAGGTTTTGTATGGACATCTGTTTTTATTTATCTTGGGTATATAGTGAGGAAATAGAATTCCCAGCTCATGTAGAACATATATTTAACTTTTGGAATCATTAGGTATTTTTTAAATCACATTGTGCTTCATTTGACAAATTTTTTAATATGTGTGTGATTTCTTACATTTTTAATTTTCCTCTTCTATTAGAAAAAATCTAGAATATTACACCCCCTGATTTATGTCTTAGGTCTTTTGTTGCTACTGCAACTGCTGTTGTTGCTTGTTTTATAATCTAATATGTACAATGTATCTCATGGGGGAAAAAAACCCTGCACAGACAAAGTCCTTATTCTTTTTTTATGAGTGCACAATACTACATGGTAGAATAGACCCTTACTCATTCAACAAGTCCTCATTGTTGGACATGTACTATGTCCAATTTTTGTTCTTAAAATTATGCTGCACTGACCAACACTGTTTTGAATTTGTGGAGATGTATCTTTAGAGAAGATGTCAAAAAATGTGACTGGTAGATTAAGTGAATATTAATATGCACAAGTGTTAACTAGTTCTGAATCCCCCTTCTCTAGGAGCAAACTAAACTAATACTGCAATTAATCAGAGTGCATGTTTCCCATAATCTCATTGACAGAAAATATTAATTGAAATTTGTCAATGAATGAGAGCTCAGTAAAAGTTCAATCTGCATTTCATTACTACGGTGAGATTGAGCATTAAATTTTCACACATTTAAGTCTTTCTATTTCTGTGATACATCTATATGTATCTCTTTTGTTTCAAAGATTTTGAAGAGCAGAAATGCTGAAGTAAATCAGGTAGACAGGAAGATGGAGGCAGATATCCCATCGGTCACTACCAGCAAGAAAGTTATCATGAGTTCTTAGGCTCTTGTTATACATTAGATTTTCAGAAAGTCACAGCTAAAAGAATGCTTGAAAAATAGCTGATTCAGCTCTTTCCAGCTATAGATGAACAAGTTCTATATTAACAAACTGAGGGCCAAAGAATGGAAGGACTTTCTTTAGGTCACATAACAAATTAGAGTTAGACCTACAAATGGAACTCAAAGCTACTTTTCCTACAGCAACTTCAAATTAATGCACAAGTAATTTCTTTATTGATTTTTGTATTTTTACTAAGATTACATCAAAGTACATTTTGGAGAAAACATGTCTCTTAATATTCTTTATTAGTTTGAGTTGCAGACATCAACAATAAACCACAGTCTATCTTTTTGTTATCCATGCTTATTATCTATATTAGCACCTTTAATATCCACTTGCTGTAGAAGTGTAAAAAAAATCTTAGAAGGTACAAGCTGCATCAGATTTTGGGAGATACCTCACATCACAGGAACACCTGAGATCCAGATAGGCAGACCCCCCCCCTCTCTCTCTCGATATATATATATATATATATATATATATATATATATATATATATATATATATATATATATATATATATATATATATATATAACAGGAGCAACTAATTTTAAGTGTTTAGATCCTCTCTAGAAAAGGGGCAATGTAGCATGATGAATTTTGGGAGTGTGTAGATAGGCTTATTTGCTAAATATATATTTAGGATGCATTATAATTTTGAAGTTTATTTACACATTACTGCTTACAATACTAGGAGAGGCTCAAAGAGGCACAGACCAATCAAATGAGCTAGCAACAGAACTGAAATAAGCACTCCAAGTTTGATAACTTCTGAACTGCATGCTTTCTGTCTTTGTTTTGATCCATGTAAATTAGTCTTTGTTCACAAAATTGAATCTTTCCCATGATGCAACATGATGGAGCATGTATACCCCTTCTAAGTCTCCTAATCTACCATACCAGGCCAGGAGGTTGACCAGATGCTAGCATCTCTCATTTTATCTATTTCTCTCTCCCCTGACTTCCTCTCTCCCTCCCTCCATCTATCCCTCCTTTTCTCCCTTCCTTCCTTCTCCCCTTTTCACTCCTTACTTCCTTTCTTTTATTCTTTCTTTCCTTTGGCAAGGCCTCACTACATAATAGTCTGGTCTGGCCTCAAACTGACAGTCTTTCTACACTATCCTCCCAAATGCTATGATTACAGACACACAGATTGTGCCCGGCAAAAAAAAAAAAAAAAAAAAAAAAAAATCACACTTCTTAAGAACTCACTATATGTCATATGCTTTCCTACGTTCCTTTGAATGCATGACACTCCTACTTCACAGTCATCAGTATTCTCATCATAGAGATGAACACACAGAAGCTCAGAGGGGCTCGCTTAGGATTAGACAGCTAAGAAAGTTGTAGAACTGGGATCCCAAACTAGGCTCGTCTGACAGTAAAGTACACGTCGGGTCCTGGTGCACAGCACACTACCTTACTGTTACCTTTCAGCTAAAACAGACCAGGGGCCTGTTGACTCTAGGATATATACAAGGGAGAATGCAAAACTGACCTCCCTCAGAGAATACTCAGATGGCCCAAGAAAAAGTTGCCGGATGGTGCTCAATGATTTGGGAGTCAGTTTTTCTTTAGTCCTACCATGTGTGCCAAACCCTCAACAGAAACTCTGAAAACCCAGCAGTTACTTACTTTACCAAGTGTCTGATTAAAAGTTCCAGCATCTCCCGGTTCTTTTCTGGTAGCTTATATACTAGGGAGTGAATAGCTCCCAGACGGTAATCCAGGTTATCAGATTCTGGCAGAGAGAACATAGAGAGATGGTTTAGCTTTTCGGTGACTGGATTAAGAAAACTCTCACGTGTGTGTGTACACACACACACACACACACACACACACACACACACACACACACACACACACACCTGAGTACAGGGAGAGGAAGACAGGGAGAGAAAAGAAAAGGGAGGGAGATAGAGAAGAAAAGAGATGAAGAGGAAACAAGTAAAGAAATAGACACAGACACAGAATAAACGAGAAAAAATAAAAACAAAACCAACAATGGCAAGGAGAGGTTAAAAAGCAAAAGAAACAAAATACAGGCCTAAAGGGATGAAGAAACGAGACAGTGGGGGAATAGAAGCTTGTGGACAAACAGTCTCGGGCAGAATTGCAGTCCCAGCAGGCTGTCTCTAAAGCCCTAAGCAAAGCCTCCAGTTAGAAACCCTTTCCCCACCCACAATGTGTGTGGTACTAAGGTTGCTGCCTTCCAAAGTCAATTATTGAAAGAGCCCAAAAGTACACACCACATGCCTCCAGTTAGCCAATTTATTTGAAACCATGCCACTAACATCGGTTGTCAAAATTATCTACCTTGAAAAGTTAGCAAACAAAAATATTCTCATTTGGCAGTGAGCAAAATCTGAGTTTATGCTGGGAGTTTTTCCCTCAAAGAAGTTTTCTAGCTTTTTGCTGTAAACTGACTAGGAAACCAGGACAAGAGAATTTAACTAGCAGTGCACATACTTACTGGCAGCAGAGACGAGCTCTTTGTGAAGCTTATAAGTCATGACAGGTTCTGAAAGATTCCTGAAATGAATGAAAACAATCACTCTTTTGGAGGAAGGAGCAATCAGACCTTGGACTCTCGGTTCTATGAGTACTAAGGCCCCACAGCTTAGCCTGATTACATACATCTCCCAGAAGTTTACCAGTGGGATCAAAGTTTAAAAGAAGGTGTGCAAAAATATAGGCTGAGGCTTCTAGTAAGGTCTCCAATTAGCTCCCCAACGTGAAAGGAAATAAAAACCAGTCCTGATGCTTCTAAGACAGACCTACTCTAAATATGACCATGTGCTTACAAGTTGATGGATCTGAAGAATTTCCAAAGCACTTTTATATCTGTTCTATTTGACACTTCCATTGATCCTATGAAGTAGAGCAGGATTAGAACCAAGAGATGAGTTCTGGGATGGAACTAACACTTGGGAAATCACTAACCACAATGGCAGGAGCAAAGACAAGATCATTTGATGAAGTGTCCACATTTCCAGCCAGGTTTCTACAGAAAGTAATGTACATGACATTTCTACTTCTTAGTCCCGGAATCCCCTGATTTACTCTCTAATCCACTATAATCTGACTCACTTCAACTTCTCCAAGGAAGCTGTTCTTACCAGTACCACCAGTGACTGCTCCAATGCTGCACACAAAGACAACTGTCATTCTTTAACTTACTTGTCTTCTTTGTGTCATTTGATGTTGTTAACAAACTTCCTTGAGACTTAGCTCTTGGATTTTCCTGAATCCCTTGATTTTGGTTTTTCTCTTAATCATTTGCGCCTTTCTGGACCTTCTCCTCTGGGAATTTATCATGGCTCCTTTCTCTTTTTACAACACTAGAGGCCTGGAAAACTCAAAAATCTACAGAGACTAGGAAATTTTCATATTGCACATGTCTCATATTTAATCTTCATTTACATGACAGTGCCTTTATTTTTCTACAATGGCAGCCATATTTACTTACACAAATAAGCACATGGACTCACGGGAGTCAAATCTTTCCATCTTCAACAGAGATGGAAAATGAATATTTTTAGATGAAATACACTCATTTTCATATTTTAGCTACTGTTTTGATTCTATTTCAGAGGTATCTACTACTAGACAAAAGGGGGTGCCATAAAACATTATATTGCTGTTTTCCCAACAGTCTGCCATGTTTCATAGAACAGAGGGTCATCTGTTTTTGTGGTTTTAAGTACCAGCACAGCATCATGGTTTCCACTTCTGCCATTGAAGGGCACAAGAAGGGCTCTACATCTAATTTCTTAATAAACATTATTTCTCCATGGCAAATCCAAATGGCCCCATGGACTAGCACATTCATTTTATTCTTGATTCCTATTCTTTCTGTTTGCACAAACCAGATTCCTTTCTCCTTCACGACCATAAGCAGTGAAAGGATTCCATTCACAGACTCTTTCAAAGGTCTCTTCTTACCATTTATGCCACTGACATGAATCTTTATATAAACAAAAGTAAGAATAAATCAGCTTTGCATCTTGACTGCACATACAATGCGACCTCATGTTCTTATTGCCACCACTTCTGCCATGATGGACTGGATACTTTCTTAAGGAACAAGCAAAAACAAACCCTTCTTCCTTAAAAATTAAATTGAAATAAATCAAGAGTGATCACAGCCTAGCACATATGACAGTCCCACTGATGATAAACTCTTACTACATGTGTTGGCCACTCATAGGCTTGGCCTTCCCTTCTGTTGACTAGGCTTGAGCTAGAAAGGATTTAAATTGAAGAAAGCCTGTGAAACACATCTTTGAAAATACTGACTCCTTTTAAGGAGGATAGGGACAGTACATCACTTACTCATTGACTACTCTCATTATCTCAAGTCTTCAGAAATTATTCATATAAGATTGCTCTCTCATTATTAAACTATGCTATAGTGGAAGGTCACTCAACAGCAATATCATGACCCAACTGTTTGGAATAATGATAGAGTGCAGAGTTTAAATATCTATCATAATGCTAAAAGACCACAAAATGGAAAAGAAAACACTTGAAACTACAGTGCATATTATAGGACATAAAGAATGGTAGTGAAAAAAAAAAAAGAATGGTAGTGAAAAATTGAAGGGAGTGCCATGTATGGTAGTACATACCTTTAATCTCAGCAGTACAGAGGCAGAGGCAGGTGGATTTCTGTGAGTTGGAAGCCAGCCTGATCTATATAGAGAGTTCTAGTCCAGCCTACAACGTGAGACCCTGTCTCACTGCCTCAAAAAATTTAGGGATATATATAGAGTTTGGATGCATATAAATATACATATATGTCTATATACACATATTCAAACATATTTTAAATAACATATACTTATGCCAATAAATAGGACATTAATTTTATCAGCACTGTGTGTCCTCAAATTTGCTAGTAAGTTAATCTTTTTTCTTACTGCTGTCACTTCATTTATCTCCAACACTGTATTTTCTTTATATTTTCACCTATATGGGTTAAAACATGACAGTACAGTATAGGCATATTCTATTTCTCTTTATGTCTCTGGGGCAAAGACTCTACTACTGAGCTATACCCACAAGAGGATGGGTTTTTGTTATTTTTTTTTTACAATGTATTTTTGTTTATTTTGTTTTGATAGAGTCTTACTATGCAACCTGCATATCCCTGGCTGGTCTTGAGTTTGTAGCATTTCTACCTCCTAAATATTGGAGCTTCTGGCTGGAACTGATATTTTTATTTCATGCTAACAACCCTGGAAAGCAAGTTTGCGGCTTTCAATCATTCAAGTTTGGCTTGTCTCATTCCACAGCTGTGATTTGAACCCAGGTCCTCTAACTTCAAATTCTTTTCTATGATAGTGTCACCTGTGTCCTGATTTCTTTTCTTTTTTTTTTTAGCTTTTTTTCTTTATTAAGAAATTTTCTACTCACTCCTCATGCTATCCACAGACCCCCCTCCTCCCACCCCCAGCCCTCTTTCCCAAGCAACCCCACATCCCCACATCCCCACATCCCCCAAATTGAGGTCTCCCATGGGGATTCAGCAGAGCCCAGCTCACTGAGCCTAGGCAGGTCCAAGCCACTTCCCACTGCACCAAGGCTGTGCAAGGTGTCATACCACAGGCACCAGATTCCCAGAAGCCTGCCCATGCACCAGGGACAGATCCCGATCCCCCTGCCTGAGTGCCCCCCAAACAGTTCGAGCCAAACAACTGTCTTCCGTGAAGAGGACAGTTTTAAAGAATAGTGTTTTTTTCAAAAATATGTTTTCAGTAACAAATGCTTTTTATATTAAAAACTCATATTAAAGTTTAGGTTTTCTAGAGCTTGAGGTGGTGGCCATGTCTATAGTTCTAGCATTCATGAGGCTGAGGCAGGATAATTGTATCAAGGTCCAGTCCAGCCTAGGTTACATAGTTAGTCCCTGTCTCAAAGACAAACATAAAACATCTTTTTCCTCTCTCTTCTCTTCTTTTATTTAGCAATCTTTTTCAAGCTTCTGAAACTGAGACTACCTCAACTCCAATCTCCACCTAGACAAATTTCAGCCATCATGAAAAGCAAAATCCCAACTGAAGTAAAGCATACCTGAGGTAGAATTTTAAGGAGCTTGTGATTGTCTTAATGTCCCAGTCACTATTGTGAAAATCGACATCTCCTGGACATTTTGGATCTAAGGGAAAAAAAAAAAAACAAAAAATAATCTTCCAACAGATTTTACCTGTTACATTCTGTTTTAAAAATGAAATATATTACTTAGATGGCTACTCTAATTAATTTTCAAGAGACCAAAAGTTTACAAAAAGAAATCTTCTCAGTTTTCAAAAATTATCTTGCATGCTGGCTCAGTATGTAAGAAATTTGGAAATTATCACTTCCAGACACCCTGTGAGAAAGCAACGCTGAACCAACAGAACCACTCTGTAGATGACCAAAGTTCTGAGATGGTGAAGGAAAGAGCTGCTGCCAAACAGGCTGCACAGAGTCAGCACCTAGGCTGCACAGAGTCAGCACCTAGGCTGCACAGAGTCAGCACCTAGGCTGCACAGAGTCAGCACCTAGGCTGCACAGAGTCAGCACCTAGGCTGCACAGAGTCAGCACCTTCCGGCAGAAGCTCAGAGCCGAAACACCATGGAAAGCATTCATTACCAGCACAGGAAACCTAATCTGTAGATGAAAAGATTGCTAAGACCCAATATAGATGAGTTTCAGAGTTGAAAACTGAGTAGCCCAATCCCATCATGGAACATCACAGGTTTGGGTTCCCTAGTAGTTTTACCTTGAGTAGAACTCTGAGAAAAATTCCCTTATGAATTCATGCTTCTAGTAAAGGTGGAAGAAAGTTAACCATATACCCAGAGTTTTGGGGGCTAAACAGAAACTATTTCACCGTACTCCACGTATTACAGTTTTACCACAATCTAAATGAAGTGGGTAGTTGAAGAAAACATTCAACTCCATACCAAAACTGTCTCTCCTTACAGGGAACATCAAAAATAAACTGAAAGGCACTGGGAAAAGTCACAATCCAGGGGGAGAGTAGACAAAGAATCATATGAGTTATGGAACACTTCCCCCTCCCATGACACCTTACCACCACATCCTTCTACATACTAACAGTACCCATTCTGACAATTCTCTAAGTTTCTATGGCAAACAAAAGATAGAGGAAAGTCAAAAACACAAACTTAACCTGAGTCAAACATAAAGCTTCATACTAAAGGTACACACACCTCCATTATTTTTTTTAATCTATTCCATCATGTCTAACTTACAAAATGTCGGAAAACGCAGCTTAAAGATGCAGAAGAAACATAAAAACCACACTTTGATATGGAGAGTTTGGAAATATGAACTCAGTAATTTGAAACATCTGTGATTAATGTTAAGGGCTATAATACACAAAAGTGGATAAGACAAGAGATGGACAAACAGGAGATAGATACAAAACCTAAGGAAGCATAAAAACAAATGCAAAAACTCACAACCCTGTAATAGGAAGGAAGAATGCCTTTAAGAACTGGGCATAGCTGAGACAAACACTAGTGAATCTGAAGAAATGCCAATAGGTACTTCTACAATGAAAAAACAAACCAAAAAAGGATGAAAAAGTGGAAACCGAATCTAAAGCTATGAAAGTTGTAACATACATGTGTTAAGAATCATCATGAAGAAAAGAAAGATAAAAGAGAATTTTGGATGTAGCTCAGTAGCAGAATGCTTTTATTGCATGTGTGAGGCCCTGAGTTCAATTCCCAATGCTGGGGGGTCGGGGGGAAGGTAAGGGAATGGGAAAGAAAAAGAATAGAGATAAAGAACAGAAAAGATAAAGAACTGAACAACTAAGAATTTCCTAAGACTAATGATAAATGTCAAACCACAAATGCAGGAAGGAATCATCAGAAAACATATATAAAAGGAGGGCAAGGAAGGGGAGGAGAGAGAGAGAGAGAGAGAGAGAGAGAGAGAGAGAGAGAGAGAGAGAGAGAGAGAGAGAGAGAGAGAGAATGCTGAGAAGGACTATGAAGTGCCCAGCCCCAATTAATATAACTACAATACAACCCTTACACCAAAGTGCTACATTGCTGAATGACAACATTCAGTGAATTAGGATTTAGACTTCTAGAAGTTTCAACTGATATTGTAAATGAAAAACATCTATACATGTATAACCGACAAAAATTAAATTAAACTTCCAACAAAACAAATCTCAATATAGGAAAGCCCTACAAAAGAATACAGGTTGGCTAGTAGCTGCCTGTCTAGGGACTCGGTTTATAGATTCCAGAAGAGAACACCCAGAAAACAAGTAGGGCATAACAAATCTTTACCTAGATGTCAATTTCACCTTACCCAGTCATAATGGCAAAGATCACAACTGACAGTAAAAGCTGGAGAGGATGTGGGGCAAAGGGGAACCCTCATTCACTGTTGGTGGGATTGTAAACTGGTCTGTCCACTCTGAAAATCAGTGGGCAGAAAGCTAAAAATAAACCTACTATATGATCCAACTACACCAGTCCTCAGCATATGCCCAAAAGACTCAACATTCTACTCCATAGATACTTACTCATCCATGTTCATTGCTGCTCTATTGACAACAACTAGAAAATGAAACAACCTAAATGCCCTTCAACTAAAAAATAGATGATGAAAACATGGTACCTATTTACTATGGATACTATGCAGCTGTAAAGAAAAACGATATTTGCAGGTAAATGGAAGAAACCATAAAAGATCATATGGAGTGATGTAACACAAACCCAGAAAGAAAACAGTCACTTCTGAGGTTCCTAGCTACAAATCTTCAGATGTCAGTATACACATAATCTGGAGTAATTACAGAAATCAAGAAAGTTTAAAAAATACCATTATGGGAAAGGAGTAATAATAGAAAGGTGAATAGCAGAGTACAAGTGATCTGAGGAAGGGACATGTCTAAAAGGAGGATGCAAATAGAGAAGAAGGAGGGAGAAAGGTAACATAATAGAAAGGGTATCAGAAAAGGCCTAAGGAATCATACTATTATCTATATACCTAAAATACCTATGACACATATAAAACTCTGTATCAAAATACATATAGTTTAAATGAAATATTCCCATCAGAGCTGACAATGCTCCCCCAAGAGCCACAGACTATCTAACAAAAACCCTAAGACCAGGCAGGAGAAGCCCTCTTTTGAGGCTTCTGTGAGATTCCCAAAACATTAGAGGATATTGCTGCTGTACCTGGTGAACTGATCCAGAGGTGGAAGGTAAGGCCCTATTGATAAAGGCACCATGAACTTCATCCACAAGACTCAGAAGACCTGGAATGGATCTGGACTGAAAGCCTCTTTCACACATATGCTTTTATGGTACAAGAAGGAACCGTGTATGCAAGGAAGGAAACAACTAATAGTACTACCAGGTATTATGTCTATGAACTACAGCAATGCCCAGCATGTCAGGATAACTCTAAGGGTGAAACAGTGGCAAGCATGCCTTGGTGGTAACCATCAGCTCTCTAAAATTGAGACCTATTCAACAAGAGGGAAATCATGCCTGATACCAGAAACCTGGTCAACTACCCAAGATTAGTAAGGTCATGGAGGAGAACCTACAACCACCACTTTACTATTCTGGCCTAATCCCTAACTTTCTAAATATTTGTCCCTGTACCCACAGGTAAGTGTTGGCCCTTACCCCTCATCCAAAAAATATCTCTGTGCAACAGACGGAGACCATTACCGAAACCATAACCAATCAAAATGTAGAGTTGTGGAGCCCAGTCCTAACTGACAAATCTACAACCCAACTCCTGCACCTAAGGCTCAGGGATCAGTTTGGGAGGGGGAATGAAACAATTTTAAGAGGCAGAGGAACAGGAAGTCTGCTGTGAGAGTTCATTTCCTTGAAGCATCAAGTGTTATTTAGGTCACTATGTTGTTGAGACTTGAACAAGGATGACACAATAGCTATGCTAGTGGAAGAAGACAAGTTCAAAAGGCCTCAAACCTAAACAAAGAACTACTAAGGAATGCTCAAAGTGGGAAGAGAACACTGACTGGTTTCCAATACCAAATGATAAGCCCTGAAAACATACATACATGCAACATTATAAAGACTGAGAAGGTTTATCTTATGCATTTGGTTGTGTGTGTGCGTGTGTGTGTGTGTGTGTGTGTGTGTGTGTGTGTGTGTGTAGATATGTATGTATGTAACAATAAGTAAGAGGCCATTAATTTGAAAGAGATCAAGGGGGTAAATGGGAGGCATTATAGCAGGAAAGGGAAGGGCAGATGGTGTAATTACAATCTTATAATCTATGTGTGTGTGTGTGTGTGTGTGTGTGTGTGTGTGTGTGTGTGTGTGTGTGTGTGTAATAAAAAATAATAAGTGGTCAAATGGAAATGGCACAATTTTCAGAACTCTGATGAGCTTGTCACTACTCTTAGCATCTATTCAAATTTAAATTGCTTAGTTTCTCCAAAATTGTGGGTGGATATGCTCTCTGTTCTCTTATCTTTGAAGACTCAACATGTAATAAACTTTCTGAGTAAGTTTACAAAGTTCGCTTCCAGGTAAGTTCCTTTACCCTGGACTAAAATGTGAACAATCTCTTTTACTAAGAAAATCTGTGATCTTCAGAAAAATTCTGGAACTCTCAAGTTCACTTCAGTAAACAAGAAGATTTTTGTTTTGTTTTGTTTTACTTTGCTTTGTTTTTGAGACATGGTTTCTCTATGTGGTCCTGGCTGTCCCAGTACTCCTTATGCAGACCAGACTGGCCTCAAAATTAGAGATCCATATGTCTCTGCCTCCCAAGTGCTGGGATTAAAGGTGTGTGCCACTATGCTTGGCTAACAACAAGATATTTTAATATTCTTTGATGGCATACCTTACTTCTCAAACATAACCTAATTGCAAGGAGGGCAAACTAACCAACTCTGGCTGTCAATAGAAACTTTAAAAAATTATATGCTAAATATTTATAGTAATGTCTATGGCGGAGTAGAAAGTAGTTCAGAATGATACTCTAGAGCAAAGATTTCAGAGCAAGGATTCCAGCCATGTTCAGTGATAAAGATAGAGAACTGAAGATGCTTCCAGTATAGGGGGATCATAACATACCAAGAAACAACAAAAGGAAATTGAATTTCTTCAACTATGGAAAATGGTAACAAAGGC